CACACGAACAAACGAGGCGTAGTCATCTGTTGCAGAAAGCGCATGAATCAAGGGCTGTCTAAATAACTGGGGTGAATAAAATGCGCGATATGACTCCATAATGTTGGCGGAGGACTTTAGTTGATTTGTTGCTAACGCCGCATAAGCAACTGAAGCCGCTGCGTTAGCACTCGATATACCTGCATCACGTAAAATTGTCACGATTTTATCCCAGTTCTTCTCCTTTAAATTTGGAATGACGTAATCACGCAGAGTTTCTGAACTGGGATTTATACTGAACTCATCTTGCATGTGTCGGATAATACTAATGATTTGGTTGGATTCAGCAGAGCAAATCAAAGGCCAGAAATAATGTTGACGTATAGGTAAACCCGCCTTCTTCAATTCGCGAAGAAGTGGAAGAGCATTTGAAATCGCACCATTATTTAGTCCAGCTTCGGTGGCAATTAACAGAGCTTTAGGATTCAGACCTGAGAATGACAAATAAAAAAATTTTAATATATGTGGGTAAACGGCGTATTGCATTAATTTAAAACAAACCTTCATCTTGCAGAACTTTGCATATGCTTAAGATCTTCTCTACGGGACGGCCCACTTTGACAAGTTGTTTTATAAAAAAGTTACCAGTATCTACGAGTTGACCATCAGGTCGGGTAGCACGTGGCATTGTTCGCAATATTTGTAGACCTACATCCTCGTAACCCTTATTTACCAAACGCAATATAACATTTACAGCATCTTGATTGAATCCGGTTGATATACGCAACCTTGCCAGCACTGGGTCTACTTTATCCGAGTGACCGTTAACACTTAGAGCGTAAACGATGTCCAAAAGATCTTTGTCTAGCAAGATTACTTCTGCTTTTTCACATTCATCCAATGTACGTAGTATAGCATCAATTTCTCCATGACGTGCATAGCAACATAAGAGGGTGGAGTATGTATCAGCGCTGGGCTCCAAGTTAGCTTGTTTCATAACAGACAGAATTCCTTTGGCTGATTCCAAATCATTTGCCTATATCAATTAATTAAATATATAGTATATTTTAATATCAAAATGTAATTTTCTATGCCACTAACTTACCTGCGAGTGACCAAGTATAAGGGAATTGAAAACATTTTCGTTAACCGGCAGATTTTTTGATCGCATAAACTCTAATATACGGGTAGCTCCGTCAATGTCACCCTGCTGACAATATCTCGCTATTAAACGCTGATATGTCACTCGATTTGGTTCAATATTCTTTGACTCGATCTCTGCAAGAAAATCTGTTGGCGAAAAATTATGTTCATTTTCTAAGTACACACGCAGCAGTGCATTGTAATGGGATATATCCATTGGCACATTTAAAGAGTTTAGCGTTTTCCAAATTTCCTGCACAAGCGCTGTTCTCACTTCAGGCATTTCTTCCGGCACTAAATTGCCACAGCACCGTATTACGAGCAGTGATTGTGAACTAGTTGCTGATCGCTGAGTGCGTATTTCTTCAAGAACTTCCTCAATATCGCGACGTGAAATTCTGCCGACTCGACGAACATCCTGGTCTAGCCGGCGTATTTGTTTCTCTAAGTTAAGATCTGACTTCGCTGCTGGACTACTGCCGAACCCACTAGAAATGTGCAACCATGAGTATAACAGTTTTTAGGTTAAGATCACAAACATATGATAATACTTAAAACATATCTTTTTGAACTAAGAAAAATAATTATCTTAAAGATATATACATTTTCAATTTAACAATTACTGAAAAGCATGATTGTATTAAGGAGATTGCAACTGAAAATTATTTTATTTCAAAAAACTACTTTTGTATTGCGTAATGTTATGATGATGGAGGGCATCGGCCGGAAATATTGACTTACTGCTGGAATTGTATGCCAACGCTTGGAGAGCTTTGTAGCAGGCTGCTTCCATTTTCACTTTGTTTAACTGAATCTACAACAAAGTTTCGCGTAAAACCAGCGAAATACCGAAGAAATTTTCCTGTGCGTAAGATTGATGCCATACTTTCGTCTCCTGGAGGAATGGATGTGACAAGAAAAATATATCTAGCTATCTGAACGATAGCATTGCCATTCAAAGAAAATATATCAAATTAACGTTAAGCGTTATAATTAAAAAAAGTGTAATGTTCTAAGTGCTATTGGTATTTGTATTTTTTACCGCAGTTATTTAGTATAAGAAAATACTAAAGTAATTATTCGTTTTTAAACATTTATAGCCAAATTTTGATTGGAAACAATGAGGGGACATCTATAAGTGAGTTTTTGCAATATAATTCTTTCTGCTCATTTTCGTTCCATCAGCTGATAGACATACGGCGTGTGTGATAACAGCGAAAACTTGTGAAATTAGAGTTGTTAGAAAACAATTGCTGCATAATTTGAGCATAAATTTTCTAATAAAATTTACCAAAATGTTCCAGCTATTTGGAAGAATTCACAGTAACGTACTTGCATCAAATGTTCTAAAAATCAACCAAAGAGCTCCGAAAGTAAGTGCTCCGTCATGTTTTGCTCTTCCGAACAATAGATTTAACTCTACTGAGGCGGAGCCGGCGTTAACATCTGAGGGTAAAAATGATTGTTAATTGCGGATGTACTTTGATGATATTTATATATTTTAGACTTTAGAAAGAAGCAAATACGCTTCAATATAAAAGCAGAGCATGTTGAAGGTAGACCACTATATCTTGACGTTCAGGCAACATCACCAATGGTAATTAAAAATTAAAAACTTCATATTTTTGTTGTTATTAATGAATTTGCTTGAAGGATCCCCGCGTATTAGACGCTATGTTGCCCTATATGACGAATTACTATGGAAACCCACACTCTCGTACACATGCATATGGCTGGGAATCTGAAAAAGCGGTAGAAACTGCAAGAGAACAGGTGGCGAAGTTAATTGGCGCCGAACCAAAAGAAATCATATTCACTTCAGGAGCTACAGAATGTAATAACATTTCTATCAAAGGTGTTGCTAGGTATAAATAACGCATGAAATTATTAGGATTATTAGCACATTCGTGTTTATGGCTTCTTTGCTAATTCCTAGGTTTTACGCGAGTAAGAAAAAACATGTTATTACCACACAAACAGAACATAAATGCGTGCTAGACTCATGTCGTGCTTTGGAGAACGAGGGCTTCAAAGTGACTTATTTGCCTGTTAAGTCAAATGGAATCATTGATATGAAGCAATTAGAGGAATCTATCACTCCGGAAACATCATTAGTATCTATTATGACTGTAAACAATGAAATTGGTACGTTCGAATGTTTAAAATCAAAATGAAACTTCTTTTAAAGAAGACAATTAAAAAATTTCCCTTTATATGATAAACAGGAGTAAAACAGCCGATAGCAGATATTGGTGCACTCTGTCGTTCACGAAAAGTATTTTTTCATACGGATGCTGCCCAGGCAGTAGGAAAAATTCCTATCGATGTAAACAAAATGAATATCGATTTAATGTCTATATCGGGACATAAAATATACGGACCAAAGGGTATTGGTGCACTTTATGTGCGTCGTAGGCCGCGAGTACGTCTTGAACCACTTCAAAGTGGAGGTGGGCAAGAACGAGGTCTTCGCAGCGGTACTGTTCCCGCACCTCTGGTGGTTGGGTTTGGCGTTGCTTGCGATCTTGCTTTGAAAGAAATGGATTATGATAAAAAATGGATCGATTTTCTATCGAAACGTTTGTATGACCGTATAACACAGGCTTTGCCACATGTAATCCGCAACGGCGATCCTGAACAGACTTATAGCGGTTGTTTAAACTTGTCTTTTGCCTACGTGGAAGGTGAATCGTTGTTGATGGCTTTAAAAGATGTTGCCCTTTCCAGTGGTTCAGCCTGTACTTCAGCGTCATTGGAACCTTCCTATGTGCTTCGTGCCATAGGAACCGATGAGGATCTGGCTCACAGTTCAATAAGGTTAATATTATCAACTATACATGAAGTAATAATACCTAGTTAACGACATTTACCTTTATATTTATATTTTAAGATTTGGTATTGGTCGTTTTACAACCATCGAAGAAGTTGATTACACTGCTGACAAATGTATCAAACATGTGGAACGTCTACGTGAAATGTCACCACTGTGGGAGATGGTTCAAGAAGGCATTGATTTGAAAAACATTCAGTGGTCACAGCATTAATTTTAGTTTCCAACAACTATTGTGTCCGAGGGACTGTATTGAATTGTACCTACAATTGTTAGTAAGAAAATGTTTTCGTTTTATAAAAGCGATGGAAATTTTCAATAAGAATTTTACATTGAAAAAGGAAAGCTTTTGCCTACAGAATAACGGTCTATTTTCGTAATATCTAGATAATATTAAAGAGCTATTAGTTATATGCACGTCATACTTACACTCAATTATTATATAATAACAAACCGATTAAATATGCATACTTCAGTTAAATTGAAAACTCAGTTGACGTCTACGTATTTATTTCAAAACATTAGTAATAGGTAACAGTTTATGAGATGAGATGAACCAGAATAAGCAAAAAACACTAATCATTTGGATATAGTTACCCACCATTTTTAAAAAATTAATTTTATCAATCTTGTAATTAATAGTTTACACTTTTCTCTTGAGTTAAATTGTATTCTTTAATCTGTATTTGTTTTTTTTTTTTTTGTGCTTAAAGACATTACAAAAGTCATATTTATATAAGTTGTTTAAATATGAATAAAAATACACATATGTATATGCTTTGATCGAGATAGTACAAACAACCAATGTATTAACACAGCGGCTATAAAACACAAGCTGTATTTAATTATACTTGAACACGTCGAAAAAGGGTGAAGGGTGAAAAGCCATTCAGCGTATAACTAATGAGCTTTCGTATAAATTATACGATGTATTTTGTATTGTATGTATGCAAGTGTGTTTTGAGCACAACTTGATAATATTTGCATAATAATCCAAAGATGTTGCAAAGTTCAAAAACTGTTTTGCAAGAGAGTTAAAAAATATTGGTTTATATATGTACATTCATATGTATATTCAAATGCAAAGTAACATAGTTGGTAAATATTATTATATATTACTTAATTAGTTTTCTTCGTCTGCTGGGTTTTATTGCCGTTTCCTCCCAAAATCTTCTTCCGTTGCGCAAACATGTGGAGATACATTTGCGGGAATAGAGGTATATACAAGAGCATTACAATCCACAGCAGAGCAAAATATGAAAATGTGGCATTCCATTTATTTGGCATTTGCAATGACCAAATTGTGTTTGATTTGGCAAATCCTTGTGCCCACCAAAAACATAGCAGCTCGCCGGTTACGCCAATTGGATAAAGAGCTATAAATGTTGTGTATCGTAGAAAAACCACAATGTATGGCATAAAGTTTATAATATTGAGAGCATAGTAGCCATATCTTATGATTTCGGTTACTGCCCACGCAAAAAGCGCTATCGGTAGCCCAGGCGACACTTTACCCGTTGGTGTAGCCATAACGACTCCGAGAACTACCATCATTCGACTCAGCACTTGGAATGTAGTTATAACAGGATTTGATTTTACTAAGCCGAAAGCTGCGTTTAAAATTTCAACAAAGGCGGCATTTTGGAATACGATGACTGCAACGCGAGTGTAGTCCCAAAGTCCCAATCCAGCTCGGAATTCCGGCCCTTGCAGCAAATAGTAATTTACTAACTGGAAGAGGATGTAACTCCATCCAACCACTTGCGTAGCGTTGTATACAAAAAGGTAACCTTTGACCGCAGGTCCCTGTTGCTGTGAAACTGATTTCACTGTTGTCGATTTCGCAGACATTTTTGTTTTACTATCTTCAAAGTCCAATAAACGAAATCAACACGACCATACACTTTCCCTACTTTCAAGCAAGTGTATTGTCAGTATCGTCCAACAGCTGTAGTAAATGAGGAAATAAACTTGTTTTAACAAAATTGGCAATTGGTGGATTGATAAAGGTCCATTCACATACAACTTTCCTAGCTTTATGTGACAGTTCAAACTGAAACAACAACGCGCAGAAAACAAAAGGCTAGCCACAATGAACGACTTGCTTTCAGCCAAGAATGATGGAATACATACTGTATTCAATGTTTCTATTTAATATAAATTGAGACTTTTGCTTGACAAAGCGTAAAAAGATGAGTGATGACCAACATTTTTCTTGGTTTCACGTCGAAAACTTTTTATGTGTACGTACTATTATAAGAGCATACATCGAATTGCTGGCAAAACTAATGTCTGACGCCAAGCGAAGCGAAAATTCTATGTGAATCGGTCAAATTGCTGGATTTTAATAAGCTTGACAGTTAATTGTGAAAAGTGTAGAATAAGAAGAAGCAGTTAAATGCAATTTATTGGTTTGTTTACAAAAGTGGTATTTCTACAATTCATGTTTGTTTATTATTATAAATTAATACAATGGTCACACAATTAGACGATGTTCGATTAATTAAACTGGTACAATCGCATCCTATTTTGTATGATAGAAATCTCGCAAGAGGGCCTAAAACTTCTTCTTTAAAAGATGATATTTGGAAGAAATTATCGCTGCAGTTAAACTGCTCTGGTGAGTAGGAATCTACTGATAAAATGTTGTATGTGCTAATTTTCCTCAATCTTCTCAAGAGCGAGCTTGTATAACTCGATGGAAAAGTATTCGCGACCGTTTTGGAAAAGAATTGCGTAGGGCACAAGAAAATCCTGAGGAAGCGGTTAACTGGGACATGTTTGAACATCTACTCTTCTTACGAGAGCATTACAAACATGGGTATTATTAAAATATTAGCGACTGGTGATTGATAATAACCTTGAAACTCATTTATAGACAAACAAACAGCGAAGCTCTACTTAACATAAAATATGAACCCAAAAAAAGAAAACGGGGGCGGAAACCCCGAAGAGAGTGTGAAGCTGAAGTATTTAAAGAAGAACGAGATGATGACGATGTGGATCCTGAAGAATTGATTGAAAATCAACAATTGATAGAATTAGTAAAAGAACATCCTGTATTGTATGATAAGTATAAAATAAGGGACTCGAAAAATTTGACACTGAAAAATGACGCATGGCATGACATTTCAGAGAGTATGGGAATATCGGGTAATTTCAAAATAAAATCATATTATACCCTTACAGATAAAATAAATTAATGCATTTCTTATTAGAAGAGATATGTTACAAACGTTGGAAAAAATTGCGGGACCGGTTTGCCCGCGAATATCGTCACCAGAAAATTTATCCTGAGCGATCTGTAACGTGGGTCTATTTTCAGGATTTATCTTTTCTCGAAGATCATTATAGAAAAGGGTAAATTTCAATATTATAAGAAAAGTACATTAGTTAAAATGCTTTTTTTTTAAGAATTCCGCTGCCAGTAGATACCATCAGACAAAGGAAGAAAATGAAAGCAACAACAGCATCCACTGATGAGACTTGGGTTGACGATTGTCCATTTCTATATGTTAAAGACGGACATCATTCACACGACGAAGATATTGATGATATTGACCCCGCATTTAGTGAAGTTAATTCAAACTCATTAGATGAATTAATAATAATGCCCAAAAGTAACGATTCCTTTAACGATATTGTCATTGATGAATCAATAACACCACCAGGAAATACCTCACAGTCTAGTTTTCAAATGTCTGAAGGAACAAATTTAGAAGAACCCGAACAAAAACTTTCAGTTGTTATTTCAGGAATTCAACAAGTTTTAGAACAATCACAGGAGTGTTTGAAAACATTGCAAAAACAAAAAGAACAACAAAAACAACAAATGCAATCCGACGTGAGTTTGTCAATTAATGCCGAAGTTAGTATGATCCAAAAAGTACACATACTACTGGATGGTTTGAATTTGCCAAATCGAACGCTAGCTGAACGTCGAATAGTACAATTTCTATGCGAATGTCAAATTAAGACTTTAAACAATGTGGATATAGAAGATGTGGATGGTACAGAAGATTATTAATTACATAAAAATGAAGTAAATCTCAACTTAAATGTTACTATTGTGGTTATATATTTATACATAAACCTTATGTTCATAAAATAAAATAATTAAAAGTTCTGAATTAAATAAGTGAAAGTTTGAAGTAATTTTCTTTCAGAACTTCTTACCGTTTCTATCAAATTTTGTTACATATTTAAGTTAAAAGTGATGCAATAATCAAAAATTTTTTTTTTCTGGCGATCTTAAACCTTTTGACAAATGGATTTAACCATCCGGTTTGGTTAAGCAGACTTGATTTGGTTATTTTCGTTTAGCCGTTACAGATTTTCCCCGCTTGGACTGATTTTCCGATATTAATTTGTTTGTCAAATCCTTTGACGAAAATGAAAAAAAAAAAACAATTTATTATCACTTGGTCCTGATTAAGTTTTATAATTTGAGCACAGGAGGATATCAATCAATCCATATGTTCATAATTCCAATTTTTTTCTCTTAAATGTGTTTTAAAAAATTAACTATTTTGTTGAACGTACCCAAGTTGTGAAGGCTGTCATTGTCACCATTAAAGATGTGACACACACATGCAGCAATTGATAACTAGACTAAACACACCATACAATTTCTCATTGCGGGAGCGGCGATATATGTGAAAAATTATTTAGGATTCGCCATCATTAAGTAAAATATTAAAGAATTACTAAGCTATGAAAGTAGTTTAAGAAAATATAATATATATCGGTCGCGCTCTCTAATGGAATTGTGAAAAAAACTTACATACATATATTGGAAAGGCGAATAAAAAAATGTAAAGTATAAGCAAATCATATTTACTATAAATGGGCATTCGTATCAAGTGTTGGAATTTTTTACTTGGTTGACTTAAATAACTATTGTTAAAATTTTACATATATTATTATTAGAACGGGGACCAAACGGTAGTAACGTGCGATTAGAAACTGAAACTAAGGTGTTGGTGCAGTCGAAGTTTACACCGATCGTGACGACAGTCATCAAAGTAAGCGTACCGCAGTAAAGAGTTGGCGCTACTTAACTACACGTACAAGGTTTTTTTCTGTGTGGTGTTAAAAAAGTGAATAGCCAGTGACCACCAAGTGTGAGTTGACAGCGGTTGTTGGCAGGCCAAATCGAGACTGATTTGAATAGATTCGAGGGACGGATGCAAGTTTCCAATTGACAATATTAATGTGCTGATACATACCAAAAATTAAGAAAACAGTGTACATACTGTCTGATAGTATTAAAAACATCCATAATACTTTTGTCAAAATTGTCACCGCCAAACGAAAAGGGAAAGTGGAGGCGAAGTTGAAGTTGTAAGAATTGCAATCACGCATATTGGTCATTTGTTTTGAGGTTATAACATGATTTTACTGGAAATCAATAACCGCATCGTCGAAGAGACACTTCTGGTCAAATTTCGTAATGCTTTAGCTGGGTAAGTAATTTTTTTCAATTTAAATTAACATAAATACATATATTAAGTTTTATTTTGACTATCAAAAATGCTCCTATCAAAGTTTTGGTTGAGTAATTGTTTAGTTATGTTCATTAAAAACCATTTTGTGTTTTTGTACATTTGTACACGTTTATATTCATGTGTATATACAAATGTATGTACCGTATATCCGGCTTTTACCATACGGTTGCAATTGTTATGCTATTAACACCCACTTGTCACCCGCCCCGCACATTTACCTATGAACTTATGTGCATTAATCATCATGCGTGCAACAGTCAAAGCCACATTAAAGTATACATTTCACTCCAACACTGAACATTAGATGTATGAGAATTAACGAGTAATTGACTCATACGCTGTTTATGCTTCAGCACCAAAAGTGTGTTTTTATTTGTACATCTTATATTGTGGTATGCTCTCTAACAATTCATCAAATGAATAAAATAAATAATCAAACACACAATTATGTTTGAATTTGTTTTTACAAGTCATCTATGTGTGCAAAATGTGCACTCAATGTTACATATATGTGTTTACAATTATATATGTGTCTGCTTATTAAAAATTCTTGAAAATCTTTTAGTTTACGTACATACATATATGCACACATATTATTTGAAATAACTGCCCAATATAATCTTATCAAACTCTGATAACAAACGTAGCCATTATGCCACCATTCGGTCGACACTCGTCGATGAAGCATTAATGTTAATTATTTTTTGTACATATGCATGTATGTATGTACGAGTATGTATGGCAAACAGTATTTATGATATACAAATGACTAATATAAACTGCAGGTTGTTAGGTGTTTCTTTGATATGTAACATTCTTATATGCCACATTGTAAAATTAAATTTTTATAAATTTATCTACTGAATTTTTGCCATAATTTCAATAAACATATTATCCTGTAAATTACAGAGCGAAGGCGGAATCTATTGATGTTCGAATTGCTGACTTTGATGGTGTGCTATTTCACATTTCAAATGTTAATGGCGATAAGACTAAAGTTAGGGTAAGTCAACATTATTCAGCAATATTATTTATATCAAAATTCAAAAATTTTTCTTTTATCGTATAGACAAGCATTTCGCTAAAGTTCTACAAGCAATTACAAGAGCATGGTGCTGACGAATTGCTCAAGCGTGAATATGGCGGTTTATTAACAGACACTGAAGATGGTAATAAATAATAACTCATTTATGAAAGTATAATCTTAATGGTATTTTTGTTGTTTTTTAGGTTACAACGTTTCAGTACTTATTGACCTAGAAAATATACCTGCTGACTGGGAGGCAGTTGCTAAAAAAATTGGTCTGTTGAAGCGCAATTGCTTTGCATCTGTTTTCGAAAAATATTTCGATTTTCAAGAGCAGGGTGAAGAGGGCCAAAAGCGTGCTGTAATTAATTACCGAAACGACGAAACTCTGTAAATATTATACTTTGGTTAAATATTATGGTGTTAGAAAATTTTTTTACAATTTCAATTTCATTTAGTTATGTTGAGGCAAAGTCTGATCGTGTAACTGTCGTATTTAGTACGATTTTTCGTGATGAGGACGACGTGATTATTGGTAAAGTGTTCATGCAGGAATTGAGAGAAGGGCGCCGTGCATCACATACAGCTCCACAAGTATTGTTCTCACATCGTGAACCACCGTTGGAATTGGCAAAAACGGATGCAAGAGTTGGCGACAACATTGGATACGTTACTTTCGGTAAGTAGAAATGCATGTAGTTGATTAGTTTAAATGTTAAGGAAGTTAGGCTTTTAAACCCGAATAAAAAAGGGGTATAAAAATCTCTTTTTCTCAAATACCAAAAAATAGCTCACGTATATAAAATCGGACAGACCGATGGGCAAGCGTAGATTGATTAAGCTTGTCGCGCTGATCATTTACGGGTATGAAGTAAGTGTTACAAATTTGTTGGTAGGGAATTTTGTTGTGAACGAGCCTTAACTTTTTTCTGTTTGCTTGGCATGACAACTGGCAAACATATTCAATAACCTTGCCAAAGTGCACTCAAATGTATCCGACATTTCTCTCTCATATATGTTTGTATAATAGCTAACGAGAAAAAAAGGACATTGATTGGTGGAGTTAAAAGTGATATATTTACTATCGTTTAGTATGTGTCTCTCAAATACTTCTAAATTAAATAGTAGACCAAACGGCATCCTGAATAAACCACATTTTATCTCAGATGACTTGTGTTTGGTTACAAATGGAAAC